CAGGCTTTGAGGAGACTCAACGCTGCTAGTGAAACCTGGCACCGCCTCGGTCGTCATCCCAAAAACCCGCTCAACCTGTCCCAACCACCTTCTAATCTCCCTCCCAAGCCGAAACACCCGTCGGCCAATTCAAAAACTCTCCCGGGGCTAGGTCCCACTTGCACGAATTAAGAGATACTGACCGTAGATGGCAAAGATCAACGGCCCAAATCTCCTAATTTGCGCAAGTGGGACCTTGCCCCCGCTGTCTCCCATTCTGCCACGCCCCCCCGGCCCCCCACCGCTTTCCGTATTCCGCCGTCCTCCCCCCACCCCCCTCCTCCTCTGGCTCCCTTTCCCGCCACCTCCACGACCGTCCTCTCCCACCTCCCGCCCCTTCTTTCGTCTTGAGGACCGTTATATAGCTCCTCCCTTGTTTTTATTATAAAATATTAGCTCGTTTGTCCTCACTCATCCACTCTCCACCGAGTAGGCGTAATAATAAAAAATAACTTCTTAGCTCTTTATTGCTTTATTCTGGGCAGAAACTGTTCCGCCATGCGCACCACGAATAGACCGTGCGTTTCCTTTTTTTCTTTTTTCCTTTTTCTTTTTTCTTCTTTTTTTTTTTTTTTTTTTTTTTTACATACTGGGGCCATTACCCTCTTTTTTTTTTCTTTTTTTTCACATACTGGGGCCATTACCTCTGACTGATGATCCCCTTCCCTCCCCCACCCCCACTGTCCAAAAGAAAATTACCTCTGACTGATGATCCCGTCTGTCTGGCAAGGCCGGAGCTGACCCGCTTCGGGAGCAGATGGCTCGGTTTATGCGTCCATTTGCTAATTACCCTTCTCTGTATCGTTCCAATTTCAACGGATGTCCCGGAGGACCGGGGCCCAAGTCCCACTTACCCTAAGAGGTGGACCCCACAGCTTTGCGGCAATTGTCTGGAAACGGAAAACGGTTTCCAGGAAATGGCCGTCTCCGTCGACGGCCATTTTTCGTAGCAGACCCCACCGAAGACCGCTGGAGCAGGCYGAGGCGAAGGGACCGGTTTCCTTATCGGGGAAGATTTCCTAAAATGGAAGTGTGCCCCCTTGTTCTTCGATCCTGGTTTCCGACGCATGGACCAGGAYGTCGATGGGCGGYCTCTTTGGGTGACACAGGGCGACAGCAGTGTCGCTCCGGGTACCAGGACCGCAGGCAGCCAGTTGCATGGCCGGTTCAGCGGCGGACACCCAAGKTTTTTTTTTGAACTTTTCTTTTCCYGCCGTAGCCGTTGCCACGTCTCGGGACCCCGTTCGYGGAAGAGCGACGAGCTGGGAAGCCTTCAGTGTTCGCCTTCATCAACTCCCATTCACGACATCTCCACAAGCCAGCTTGTCTTCCTTTTCCCATCTCTCTCTCTCTCTCTCTCTCTCTCTCTCTCTCTCTCTCTC